GTCCTTTAATTGGAAAAACTCCCTTGCACCCTCGCGGGTGCGGAAAAAGGAGGTGTGACAATCACTATGATCCTTTCATAATTGCACATAATGTTAGGCAAGTGTATTATGCACCTTATTTATTGCGGCGGAATAAGTCCGATTGGTGGGTTGTAATAAAAACTAAGCCCGTGGGTAGGGAGAAAGTCGAGAATGTGTTAGATGTTGCATATCAAAACGATATCTCCAGTGTTGACCAAATAGTGGACGAAGTTTTAGAAAATAATTTGGAACATCCTGAACACATATTGGAAGAAGTTGATATAAATGAAGTAAGAATTATAGAAAACAAGGAAGAAGAATCAACTGATGAAGCTCAAATTAGTGAGGAAGAAGAATTCTCAGACGAGGAACTATACGTCGATGAACTTTAAAAAGTTGGTTTCTTTAATAACTCTCGTTTATAGCTAGTTTCTATATGTTTCAATCTAAATATGTATTATATTATGCATATGACAGGCAAGGGTCGATGTAACAATGATCCTGCTAGTTCTCGGGGTCGAGAAAAGGCTAAGAAACCAAAGAGGAGGGTAAAAGATAATCCTCCATCTTTTCCTGCCTCTTCAGAGATGCCTATGCCTATGCCTATGGATTTGCCTCCACCCCAGGGCTATTCTGAGCTGCCACAACATCACCAGCCCTACACCTTCGTGCAGACACCAGGTCTTTAGTCACAGGGCCATAGGACTGTACGTCCGATATACAGTCCAGCTACCGCACGACCACGTGGATCGCAGCCATCTGCATCGCATGGATCACATCGATCCATGTCACATCCACATGGATCACAGGCATCAGTGTCATAGCCACTCGGGTCACAACTATCAGTGTCACGTTCACTTGCGGGCTATACAGCTATGTCGCAGTCACATGGCTCGCAACCATCTTCATCTGGGACTCCACCTATTTCAGGCCTTCGCCTGCGAGAAACTAGCTCTGACCCCCCTACACCTTCCACACATGCCTCTTATATACATGCTTCGGACGGTGATGCTGATGATGATGAGGAGGTGCATTATGATCAATATGGCAGGATCATCATAGTTCCTGAGGGTGATGGGTAAGAGTTATTTGTTATTTTTACGTTTATTGTTTTGTACAGTTTTACTAAGATATTAATGTATTTTTTTTATTAAATTGCAGGTTCATCCCTAGTAATATTACTACAAGGATAATCACCAAAGTCACCAGAAAGCTTTATGATGGCCCTTATGCGACTTGAAGTGATTTCCCATTCGCGTTGAAAGAGCAAATTTTCAATCAATTTAAGGTATAAATGTTCTTTTAAGCAGTTCAATTATTTATATTTATGATATTTCCATCTAAATACGTATTATAGAATATAGCTTATATATATACTTACACTATACTATGCACTAAGTAATAGTGCAGTAGCTAATATTATATTGAATATAGCTTATGTATATCGAATATAACTTTTATATATATTCGATAAAAGCTTAGTACATTAATACATAATTATTCAAAAGTTAAATGCATTAATACTTAGCTTTTATTAGCTAGTATTATATTCGATATAATATTAGCTAATGCACTATACTTAATGCATGGTATATATATATATATATTAGCTTATGCACTAATATACTATATATTATATTATTAGCAGTTAATGCACTTAATTTTTGAATAATTATTAGCTAATAAAAGCTAAGTATAATATATCGAATATAGCTTTTATGATATTTCTATCAAAATATGATATTTCTATCAAAATATGATATTTCCATATAATACTTAACTTTTGAAATACAGAGCAAGTGTGTATGGGAACACCGCTATAGCGCGGATGTGGCTGCAAATTTTCATCTCAAAGCTCGCAAGCGGTTGTCGTATTGTTTCTCCAAAGCTAGAAAGTTGAACCAGAAGCCTGGTTGGTTGCTTCAGAATTTATGGGAGGATTTGCAAAGGCAATGGCTTACCGCAGAGTTCTTAGAGAAGAGAGAAAAAGAAAAGAAAACTAGTGCATCTGAGAAGGGAGGATCCTCGCACACTGGAGGTGCAATCAGCATAGGGACAATAAAGAGAAGAATGGTTCGTAATTGCTTAATTTATTTTAATTTTCAAAGTATATCTGTTCTGTTTATTAACTAAAATTTATGAGTTTTCAGGAGAAGAAGTTGGGGCATCCGATGAACCAAGATGAGCTATTCAAGGTGACTCATATTATAAAGAAGAAGAAAGAGACGAATCAAGAAAGGTGAGTCGAGGGCCGGCCTCGACTGCACATGTAAGTTTTCACTTTTCATTAAGTATTTTGATTTACTTTTATATAAAATTTGAAATACTAATTCAATGTAATTTTTCTTATATGGTCGCTTCACAACTGAAGTGGAGGAATTCATACGCAGTCAGTCACCTAATGAGTCGGGCGACCCAATCCAACCTTCGGACGAGGATGCTGAAAGAATCTGGACGCAGGTTGCTGGCGATCCAAAATGGGGGAAGGTATAAGGTCTTCCTACTAAGAAATTCCATCGCTATAAGTGTGGAATGAAAGGAATAGGGACTTCCTCGCAAGCCGAACAACTTGATGGGGAGAGCCTCTCATCTATGCGGGAGACTGTGACAAAGCTCACATCCGAGCTAGAAGCCGCCAAGGAAAGAGAAAAGATTAGAGATGCTCAGTACATTGGCATGCAAGAGCAGATCAAATCTCTTCTAGCTTCTGGCAGTTTTCCGATTCCTCGGTCTCGTGAGTCATCGCCAGAGGCTCGCCTTCCCTATGCTCGTTCCTTCTGTCCTCTCCGTGATCGTTCTTCCCATCCTAGACAAGTACACCCTTCTGGATACCGTCTTGCTGATGAAAGTTCATCAGACGGTGATGACAATGATGCAGAAAAAAATCCTTGACTTTTATACACTTTCAACTAGACAAATACAATCGATTTTCGAATGGACTTGTAATAACAGTTAACTTAGTTTGGTTAGCTTAATGTGTTAGTTCTATTGAACTTTATAGTTTGTTAGTTTTAATGTTGTTGTTGTTGTTTGCATAAAATGCCTGTTTAGGATTTTTGGAAAGTTGACAGGTGGTGTAGCTGCCAAAACAGATATTTTCTGCCAAAAATATACCAAAAAAAGCGACCAACTTTGGTTGCTAGTTGGTCGCTTATCCCTTAAAAAAAATAAATTTCTGGGCAATAGCGACCAACATTGGTTGCTATTGAATTTAAAAAAATAATTTCTGGAAATATACTGACCAAAGTTGGTCGCTTATAATTAAGAAAATAATTAATTCTTGAAGTTAGCGACCAACTTTGGTCGCTTATTTAAAAAAAAAATTAAACAAATTAATAATAAAGCGACCAACTTTGGTCTCTAATTTCTAGATTTTAAAATAATATTTTCTTTATAGACCAAAGTTGGTCGCTTTTTTTTTGATTAATAATAAATAAAAAAAAACGTAATTTACATGTGGAGACCAACTTTGGTCGCCAAAATTATATTATTAAAATATTAAAGCGACCAAAGTTGGTCGCCATTTTCTTTACCCGGAATATTTGGTCCTTTTACCTTAGAGACCAAAGTTGGTCGCTAATTTGCGACCAAATTTGGCCCCTAAGGTAAAGGGACCAGCTTAATATCGACCAGGCCTGTTTGGTCGCTTTTTGGCCAATAAGCGACTAACTTGATCGCTTTTCTTGGTCGTTTTTTTTCGAATTTCTAGTAGTGATCTCACATAAAAACAACGCAAGTTAATGTTCTACTGTCATGTTAGATTTTTTTTGTGGGGGTCAAATTAAAATATTTTATTTACCAAAAATGTGAGATATTTATAGCTCCAAGAAACCATAAATATCTCGCACTAGACTGGGCAAACAAGCCCTATTTCAACGTGCAACAGGTAAGACTTCTACACTGACATGTTAGTGTGTGTGTGTATATATATATATAAAATTATTTTCTATGCTCCTCCAAGCTCCCATAGATTGATGATTATTAAGTTGGTGGCTAGAGAGTACACCCTAAACATCGTTAGCGCCTATGCGCTACATGTGGGCCTAGATGAGGAGGTTAAACGACGCTTCTTGGAGGAGTTAGATAAGATTGTGCGCCAGGTTCCGCCTGCTGAGAAGCTATTCATAGGAGGAGATTTCAATGGACATATTGGGTCGACTGCTGGTGGTTACGGCGAGGTGCATGGAGGCTTTGGAGAGAGGAACGGAGGACGTACCTTGCTATTGGACTTCGCTAAGGTTTTTGGGTTGGTGATTGCGAACTCTAGCTTTCCGAAGAGGAGGAGCATTTGGTTACTTTTTAAAATGCAGTGGCAAAGACTCAGATTGACTATCTCCTACTCAGGAGGTGTGACAGAGGGTTGTGCAAGAATTGCAAGGTGATTCCGGGTGAGATACTCGCGACGCAGCATAGGCTCTTGGTGATGGACATTGGTATTAGGTTATAGAGGAGGAAAAGTCTGCTCGAGGAAGATCGAAAATCAGGTGGGGAGCCTTAACTAAGGATAAAGCCCAAGAGTTGGAGGGGCGGTTATTGACTATGAGAGCTTTGAAGAGCAGTGAAGACGCGAGCACTATGTGGTCAGCGACAATAAACTGTGTAAGGGAGGCTGCGAGAGAGGTGTTAAGGGTCTCGACGGGCGTCTCTGGTGGGCACAAAGAATACTGGTGGTGGAAAGAAGTGGTCTAAGGTAAAGTGGAAGCGAAGAAGGCGGCGTACGTGTAGTTAGTGTGGAGCATAGGTGAGGAGGAGAGGCGAGCGTGGATGGAGAGGTATAAGGTAGCTAGGAAGGAAGCTAATATAGCGATCGGGGAGGCCAAGACTGTGACTTATGGTCATATGTACGAGGAAATAAGTGAAAAAGGCGGGGAGAAAAAGTTATTCCGGCTGGCCAAGTTGAGAGAGAGGAAGACTCGGGATTTGGACCAAGTGAGATGCATCAAGGATGAAGATAGTAGAGTATTGATGGAAGATGACAAAATTAAGAGGAGATGCCAGATTTACTTTCATAAACTTTTGAATGAAGAAGGGGATCGGGATATTGTGCTAAGCGAATTGAAGCATTCCGAGAGTCACCGTGACTTTGGGTACTGTAGGCATATTAAGGTTGAGGAGGTCGTGGGAGCTATGCATAAGATGAGTAGGGGCAGAATGACTGGGCCATACGAGATTCCGGTGGAATTTTGGAAGTGTGTGGGGAGAGCAGGTTTGGAGTGGTTGATTGGGTTGTTTAATGTTATTTTTAAGGCGAAGAGGATGCCAGATGAGTGGAGGTGGAGTACGGTAGTTCCATTGTATAAGAACAAAGGTGATATCCAGAGTTGTAACAATTATAGGGGTATCAAATTATTGAGTCATACCATGAAAGTGGGAGAGAGAGTGGTTGAAGCGAGGGTGAGAATGATAGTGTCTGTATTAGACAACCAGTTCGGGTTCATGCCGGGTCATGCTACTACAGAAGCTATACACCTTGTTAGGAGGTTGGTGGAATTGTACATAGAGAGGAAGAAGGACCTGCACATGGCGTTTATTGACCTAGAGAAAACGTATGATAAGGTTCCTAGAGAAGTTCTCTGGAGATGCTTGGAGGCAAAAGGTGTGTCGGTTCCCTACATTATGGCAATTAAGGACATGTATGATGGGGTTAAGACTCAGTTTAGGATAGTAAGGAGGCGACTCTTAGCATTTTTCGGTTGTAATGAGGTTACACCAAGGTTCTGCACTCAGTCTGTTCTTATTCGCCTTGATGATGAACACGTTAACATACCATATTCAAGGGGAGGTGCCATGGTGAATGCTATTCGCCGATGACATAGTTCTGATTGATGAGTCGTGAGCCGGTGTTAACGAGAGGCTGGGAGTTTGAATACATAATCTTGAGTCTAAGGGTATCAAGTTGAGCAGGACGAAGATAGAATACCTGGAGTGTAAGTTCAACGCTAAGCCGGGGGAAGTGGGCGTAGATGTGAGGCTTGAATCCAGGTCATCCCAAGTAGAGGCAGTTTCAAGTACCTTAGGTCAGTTATCCAGGGGGGGGGGAAGATCGACGAGTATATCACACATCATATTGGGTAGGATGAATGAAGTGGAGGCTAGCATCTGGAGTCCTGTATGACAAGAGAATGCCACCAATACTCAAAGGCAAGTTCTATAAAGCGGTGGTTAGACCGGCCATGATGTATGGGGCTGAGTGTTGGCCTATTAAGAACTCACATATCCAAAAGATAAAAGTAGCAGAAATGAGGATGTTGAGGTGGATGTGCGGGCATACTAGGATGGATAAGATTATGAATAATGATATTCGGGAGAAGGTGCACGTGGCTCTCATTGATGATAGGATGCGAGAAATGAGGCTCAGATGGTTCGGGCATGTTCAGAGGAGAAGCCCTGGTGCTCCGGTAAGGAGGTGTGAGCGGCTGGTTGTGGAGGGAACGAGAAGAGGTAGAAGGTGGCCTAAGAAGTATTGGGGAGAGGTGATCAGGCAGGATTTGACGAGGCTTCAGATTTCCGAGGATACGACACTTGATAGGAAGATGTGGAGGTCGAGTATTAGAGTTATAGGTTAGGAAGTAGTTGAGTCTTGCCTTATTTTGTACCTTTGTGAGACTGGTCTGGTAGGATTTTTGTCTAAGATAGCAGGACCTATTTACTAGCTATCACTTTTATTTTGCATCTTTATTCTGGATTTCATGTTGTTCATATTTTTCTTATGATTTCTGTGGTGATACTAATATTGTCTTCTTTTGTCTTTTTGTTTTCTTGAGTCGATGGTCTTTCGGAAATAACCTCTCTACTCCTTCGAGCTAGGGGTAAGATCTGCGTACACATTACCCTCCCCAAACCCCACTAATGAGATTTTACTGGATTGTTGTTGTTGTTGTACATATCATGAAAATATACTGTATCAAGCGTTTAAAACTATAAAGGACTCCTTTTATCACAAAAAGATTTTTTCTTTAATTAGGTCGCCCTAATCATGTTTCCTTTCTTTAAAAGAAATTAAGCTTCAGTAACATACATTTTTTATATCTAAGGTTATGGTCTTAATTGGTTTTACTTTTTATAATACAACTTTTAGTTACTATTATCCAAAAACTTAAAGTGGAGATTTACACACATGATATCCTCGTAATTATAAAACTACTCATATTCAGTGGCGTACGCAAAATTATTTATAAGCGGTGTCATATTTAAAAATTAAAATTAATATTGAATTATAAAGCTACTAATTAACGATAGTAAATAATTAAAGAAATTTTACAACAAACATAAATATTTTATCTTTTAATTCTTCATCTATGTTGAAGGAAATAAAAAAGAACAAGACAATTTTTCTGTGGAAATAGAATTACGTAGTCCTTTACAAAGTTTAGATTAGTAATTCTATAGAAGTAGAAATATTTATCACTTAGAAGGTTATGAGAGCTTCATCCATGCTATTTCCAAACAATGGAGCTAAAAAAGGCTAAAAAGTTTAAGGAATTACTGTGGCTTTTGTGGTTTGATACCCTCATCTTTACAAAGGAAAGACACACTTAACCAGCGGATCACGCAATGTGAATTGTTAAGTGGTGCCATTGAAAATAAATATATATGTTTGTTAAGTATTCTTTGTATGTATGTAGTAGATGTTTCCGACGACCGCTTGGGTATCCGTGCATCCGCACCTACTCATATTTATAATTCTCAATGTATTGGATAAAGTAGAGTTATTTATTTTTGACGAGAGAAGCACGAAAAAATTATTGGGCTCAATGATTCCCCGAGAGTTTTAGTTGGGGATTTTCATAGCAAATAGCTGGGCATATTAATTTTTTACTTTTTTTAGTAATATACATAGATTATACACAAGTAAATATAAAATATGCATATATTATACATTCATCGGCTATTTTTAGTTTAAGTGGTAGGGTAGACAATTATTTGGATTAATTCTTGAGTATCGCGATCCTCTCTAGTTTCTCTTAAACTATATATGGCTTTCATTTGTATGCAAATTAACACATAGCGATCTAACTCTTTAATTAATGGATAAGGTATCAAACTGTAATAAGCAATTTGACATGAACTAATTTGTCAATATTAATAGAATGTGTTGTATTAGTGCATTGGGCTGTAGGTACTAATAGAGAAGCAGAAGCTATTGATGGTTTATGGTGGTGCCTGAACACCGGTCGATCACCATTAAATGTTGTGGTAGAGTAGTAAGTACTTCTTTATTCTTAGACATTAATTTTAGATTTGAGCCTAGATATAAAATTGTCGCCTGTAGTGGAAAGCGTTTTACTTTTAAATTGGGACTATCTGACGCGAAACCGAATTAATCGGTGTCAGACACAAACGAATACCGAATATGGAATGGAAAACAATGCTGGTTTCCGTGTCATTAAAGTGTAATGTGATTGATTGAGCTTTGTTAAAATGCTAAGGAGGATTATACGGTTCCTTGTCACTTTTGGTCAATTGCGGAGAAAATATGAATTTATTGTTGAACAAATATATAGACTTTGTAACCACTCAGTTGTTACAGGGAAATCTAACAAAATTGCAGATAATTGTAAAGAGGTTGAATATCATTCTAAGGATCAGTTTGGTCATAGATTTTGCCAAAATATATTTGAAGTTTTTTGGCAAATACATATTTGGTCATAGATTTTTATCTATATTTTGGCAAATTCCCAAAACTTAAAACTCAAGAGCTGGTTTTGACCCAAAATATAACTATTATATTTTTTAAAATTTGCCCCAAATTTTTGTATCTTATAAAAGAGTCCATCATTTATTATTTTGTAACAATGCTGCTTCGTCTTCTCGGTCATCTGAAAGTGTATTATATAGTTCATTATAAAAATGATAATTTTATACCAAATTTATTTATGTTCACGACTATGGTTTCCGATAATATAATGAATGTTATTGATAAAGGTACTGTTGGATATTTATGATAGTTTTTAGAATTTGAGGGTATAAGTCATGTTTCACGTTTTTCAAAAAAAATTAAAATATGTTTTCAAAACTTATGTCCAAACACATTTTCATCTTCAAACCGAACTTTAACCAAGTCAAATTTTTCAAAACAAATTTGGGAATCTATGGCCAAATCTAGCTAAGAACATGCTTCCAAGTAGCAACAGCTCCAACTACTCCTGCCATTTAAAAAAAAAAATCTTAGTTTGACTTGACACAAACTTTAGTAAAGTATGGAAGACTCCTGAGATATGTAGTTTTAAATAAGTCATACTTTGTGTATATATATAACTTTTGAAACTTAGGGGTCGTATACGAATAATGCTAAATAAGGTGCATTAGTAATGCATGAGTTAGTAATGCAAGCATTAGTTATACAGAGATTATTTCTTATGCATTGTTTGGTGTGGTGTATTAAAAATTAAAATGCATTGCATAATTTTTAAGAAATTTAATTGGTTACAAAAATGTCCTCCATATTCTTTAACTTAACGGAGTTTAAGGATAATTTTGTCTTTAACCATGCTAATGCATGCATTAATAGCCTTTGTATAGCTAATGCCATGATTTTCTATGCATTAGCTATACATAGGATAATACCAAATAGAGTATATAACTAATGCTTGTATTAGTTATACATAGGTTGAAAAAGTATACCAAACAAAGCATTACTAATACACAAAGCTAATACATGCATTATTTTCTCTAATACACTCTACCAAACGGCCTCTTATGGTATGAACATATCATAACATTTGTGTGGCAATAAATACTTCATATTAAAAAAATATTGAAATGTGTCAATCTTTTTGGAACAAACTAACAAAAAAAATTAGTGTCAACAGAGGGATTAGTGTATAATGGAATTTCTTAAGATTCATTTAACGAACCTCTGATCTAAATTAAGAACGTCTCATTTGTTTAACACTCAACTAATAATCATAGAAGTAGTGTAGTAAATATTTCTTATTTTAGATCTAGAAGAACAAATAGGAGTATTAATTTTGGAACAAATAATATAAACCAAAAGTTTCAATAAAGCATACACCTAGAGTTTCAATTTGGGAAAGTTTGTTGGGAATAAGAATTGGAAAATAATGACGTACTAATGCTGGTGTCACCAAATGGACGTCAGGTATGAACAATTCAATCAGCGACATAATTACCAGAACCATTTTCAGTTTTTGGTAAAGTCAAACGCGGTAATGATTATCACGTACGAAATGCCTAGGTCTTTGTCCTCATAATTGTTTATTCGACTTATAATTTTCGTCTTTTGCATTATTGAAACGTATTTGTTTTTTAAAAAATAAATGTTTTCATTAGAGAACAAATTTCCCTTGCTAATAGTTTTGCTAATCATTTGGTATCAGGTATATAGAACTAAAATTTCAGTAAATATAAAATTATTTTATCCTAATATTAATTCATATATACCATAATTTTGATATTATATTATATTCAATATAGGATAACAATATTGAAATTAGTTCATCTCTAGGGAAAAAAACAAATAGCAAGGATGTCATACTCCCAATGCTCTTTTCCTAAAGTTCTTTAAGAAGAATATGATTAAAAGTTTATTGAATTTTACCTAGTTTCAAAGCTAAATACATGTTTACATTTATACATCATGTTTCTCATTTTTCATTTATTGATCCAAACAAAATACTAGTATTAAATAAATTTAAAGATTATTACTCATATTTATTACAACCCACGTTATAATTCATGTACAATTTTTATTCCCGTAGCAAAACCACCCTTAAAGTTTCAATACAAACATACACCTATACTAAAGAGCTCCAACTTGAGAATTAGGTATACTTTGAAAAAGAATGACGTATTAGTGCTTGTGTCACCAAAAACAACGTCAGTTGTGACAACTCATAAAATTAACGAAAGATATTTTATAATGCAATGTTAAAAATGTCCATAACCATTATCATTTTTTTTTGGTTCTTTTGGTGAAAGTCAATCCACTAAAAATCAGTAATAATCAAGTGTGAAGTGCAATATAGGTCTTCTTCGTAATTGTCATGTCGGCTTATAATTTTCGTCTTTTGCATCCTTTGAAGTTGGAACATACTTCTCATAGAAACTTTCAAAGAACAGATTCATAAAAGGCAAAACTGTCTTTTAAAAAGTACCTCATTTTCACGAGCACGTCTTTTATTCTTCCATTTTTTGGTATAATGTATTGACTATAAGATTTTTTATATTTCTTGAAATATTTAACCCTAAATATTAATTTAGGAGATTTATGAATTTCTATTTCGCGGATCTGCAACAATCATGACTTGTGTATACTCAGGATCCTCACAAAGTGGATAAACTTCCTAACTCTAGCCGTCGTTTGTTTCGGCCACAAGAAACGCTAGGAAAACCTTATTTTCCTACATCCAGTAATGGTGTAATTATAGGTTATAAGTAGGCTTTAGGAGCAAGACAAGCTATTGAGCTAATTAATAACTTCTATAGATGGACGATCCAATAGCTTTTTTCAAACATTTCTAAAAATAAAATATCATTCTAATGGTATTAAATTTTAGATGGAAAATAATGTTGGCACAAATAATGAAGATAATTTGTATGAAGCAAATGATTTGAAGAAGATGACCAAGGAACAAAGAAAATTCAAAGAAGCTACACAGTTGTCTTTGACATAAACAAAGTAAAGAAGTGAAGATATTAGTCTTCAAACATTTGGATTAAAGAGCTACCCTAATTTGCATTGTATTAATTGTATTGATTTCATTATAGACATTGATCTTTATTAACTTGGCAACAACTCGACCGTTTGATTAGCTTCTAGAAGCTACAACTGCGTAACAAGAATTCTGTACAGATTTTTTTTTTTTAGCCAATAGGAAATAAGACAGTTGGATAAGTTAGTTACAATAGATTTTTTTACATTTTGTATAAAAATTATACAGTGCTGAATGAAAAAATACACAGAAAATTTCATAATCTTCATCACTTTCTGCATGGTATTAGAGCAGTGACGTTCTTGTGCACTACTCAACCTCCTTTTTTTCTTCCATCATGGTTACTGATGCTGCTTCTGCAGGGAAATCTACTGACGTCACAGCAGTAGATCCCAAGACCACCGTCATGGATTCCAGTCACTCATATTATCTTCATTCCTCTGACTTTCCACGGATAAATCTTGTGAATTTACCATTTGATGGCAGAGGTTATGGAAGCTGGCATAGGTAAGTCTTCATCGTTCTATCAGCCAAAAAGAAAGTTAGCTTTATCGATGGATCTTGCTCACCCTCCATCTCCTGATTCACCAGACTTCAAGCTTTGGAGCATATGCAACGACATGGTGCTATCTTGGCTCCTCAACTCCCTTTCCAAAGAGATTGTAGGCAGCATTATCTACTCTAGGACAACCAGAGATCGCTTTGGGCAATCTAATGGAGTAAAGTTGTTTCACCTGCAAAAGGATCTCAATGACTTAGTACAGGGGTCTAATGACATAGCAGGATATTTCACGAAGGTAAAAAGGCTTTGGGATGAATTAGATACTCTCAATGTAAATATAAGTTGTGAATGTGACTGTACATGTGGAGGTAAGGCCAAAGTCTCTAAGTCATTTCAAGATGAAAAACTCATTCAATTTCTTATAGGATTGAATGATTCTTATGCTGTTGTTAGAGGAAACATTCTAATGATTTCACATCTACCTAGTATTAATCATGCTTATTCACTGTTGATTCAAAATGAAAAACATAGGAAAATCTATGTTAACAATTAGTTCCCTGGTGATTCATCTTCTTATATGGCTGTTAATCAGTTTAATAGTTCTCAGAAATTTAGAAATTCTGATTTTAGAGGTGAAAAAGGCAGGAGAGATTACAAGAAAAACAATCATATTTGTTCCTACTGTAAGAAATCTGGACATATTGGGGATAAATGCTACATGATTATAGGTTTTTTTTGCTGATTTTAAGTTCACAAAGTCTAAGAAATTTCAAGGAGGAGCCCATGCCAATGCAGCCATAAATGATGGAGAGTTAGTTTATGGGTTTAACACTGATTCTGGAATGAATGTCCAGCACTAGTTATCACAAGACCAATTCACTCAACTCATTCAGTTACTCTAAGATGTAAAAGGTGGGCAACATGGTTCTACTTCTTCTGAGGCTGCTGCTAATTCTATTGCATGGTATAACTAATCCCATTTTACACTGCATGTCTTGCATACACAACTCTATCTCATGTTACACTCACATTAAGTCTAATTCCTGGATTCTAGACTCAGGTGCTACTGAACATATGACTTTTGACATTACTATTTTTTCTAAGATTATCCATTTTCTTATACCTTTAACAGTAAATCTACCTAATTCATAAAAGGTAAAGGTAACTCATAAGGAAAATGTTTCAATTCTGCCCAATTTGATCCTTAGGAATGTGATTTTGATCCCATATTTCAGTTTCAACCTTTTATCAGTTCAAAGATTGTGCCAACTTCTCTTCTACTCATTGCAAGGTGGTCTTTATCTACTTCAGCCTTCTAGAGCATTGTCTAGGATCTTTTCTCAGAACAATGTTACTCTTTCAGTTTGACAGTCTAGTATTTTGCCTAAGTCTAAGACAAATATTGATATTTTAGTTTGTAATCAACATTCTAGTTTATTTCCTGTTACTAGTTTAGTTTCAGCAGCAGTAAGTTCTGAAGTTGATGTAATGTTATGGCATACTAGGTTGGGCCATCTTCCTTTTTCAGCTATGAGAAATATCAAGTCTATCTTTACAAATTCTCATTGTGATATTAATGTTCCTTGTGGAGTTTTCCCTTTAGCAAGACAAGCCAAATTACATTTCCCATCAAGTTCAATCACTACCAGTTCAATTTTTGAATTTATTCATATTGACACTTCGGAACCTTAAAACCCCTACCTATGATGGATATAAATATTTTTTTTACTATTGTAGATGATTATAGTAGCGGTATTTGGACCTATCTTTTGATAACAAAAAGTAATGCCTTCACCATACTTAAATCTTTCCTAAGCAAGGTTGAAAGACAATTTTCCACAAAAGTCAAGTCCATCAGTTCTTATAATGCTTTAGAATTGGGTGCAAGTGCTATTACTTCTGAATTTTTACGTCACAAGGAATTATTCATTAGACTACTTGTGTAAATACTCCACAACAAAATGGGATTGTAGAGTGAAAATATAGGCATCTTCTTGAAGTCTCTAGGGCATTATTTCATTGATCTAATGTTCCAATTTCTTTTTGGGGGAATTGCCTACCGACTGCTACTTTTTCAATCAACAAACTACCTTCTTTAGCTCTAAAATTCAAAAAACCTTATCACATCCTTGACAAGAAGCCTCCTTCTTATGAAAACATCAGAAATTTTGGTTGCCTATATTATGTTTCTACTCTCTTTGCACATAGAAACAAGTTGAAGCCTAGAGCAATAAAATGTATCTTCCTGGTATATCCAAATGGAAAAAAGGGTTACAAGGTCATGGATCTAAAATCTAAAAAAGTTTTTATGTCTAGGGATGTTGTTTTTCATGAAAACATTTACCCTTTATCTTCCGTCACCTCTACTCAACATATCTTTTCAAATTCAGTTGTTCCTCATATGCCTTTTATTACCTCTAGTGAGCTTGTTGTCTCTAATCCCACTTCTGATAATTCTACACCAGCAGAACCTCTCATCCCTACTCCATTTATCAATTCTCGTATTTTTCATTCCTCTACTCAATCACCTATCTTACTGTTTCTACTCCATCACCACTTTTTTTCTATCTCTTCTTCCAAATCACACAATCACTCTATTCCACCTATTCCTCTTCCTTCTCCTCATACACATCAATTGAGGAGATCAACCAGGGAACACCAACAATCAATTCATCTTAAAGACTGTGTGCAATGCAGTGTACCTCACTAACCTTACTTCATCTTGTTTCTTCCACCAATTCATCCATCTATCTTTTCCTTTTCAGCACTTTCTCACACCAACCGCTAATTATTAAATTCTTTATCCTATATTTCAGAACCACTAAGTTATATACAAGCAGCACTCGATACAGGATGGCAGCACGCCATGACAAATGAGTTTGAAGCCCTAATCTCCAATCAAACGTGGGAAGTTGTTGAATTTCCAGTTAGTAAAAAAGTTTTGCCATGTAAATGGGTGTGGGCATGTGATTTTTGCCTTATACGAAATACTCCTATAAAATAAAAAATAGATTTTTTTCAATTATTTGTCATTTTATAGAATTATTGTAGGATTTTATTAATTGTTTGCATTTTTGTACACGTTTAATTTTGTTAAAAATCATAAAAAAATATTAAAAATACCATGCATTGCATTTAGGTATTATTTTTATATTTTTAGGATTAATTAGTTAATTATTTAGTTTATTGAAAATGAAAATCACAAAAATGACTCATTTTTACATATTTTGTTTTTAATTCTTAGATTAATGATTTTTCTCTTTTAGTTTAGGATCAAGTAATTGTTTAAAACTAATAATTAGATATTTGTCTTAATTTTACAATTTAGATTAATTTAGGAATTTAATATAGGATTTTTAATTTAAAAAAACAAAAGAAAAAGGAAATAAAAGAGTAATTGGACAAAAGGTTTTGAACTTGAAATTGGGCTGTTTTAACCCCAAACCCGTTCCCAAACCCAAACCCAAATCAGTCTTACCCGGTCCAAATCCCCCACCCTCCAAACGACGTCGTTTTTGCCCCAAATAATCCCAGCCGTTGATAATCACAAATCAAACGGCTGGGAACTGGTTATGCATATAATATAAAATGGTTGGAACCCACCCCAAACCCTAAAACCTCTCTCACTTTCTTCTCTCAAACTCAGATATTGAAACCCTAGCCGCCTCCGCCGTGGTTCGCCGACCGGAAATCGCCTAACGGTGGTGGACCACCTCCAAACACCACCAAATTAACACCCTATGACCTCCCTGCCCTCCACTTTCCAAATCTCTAACCCGTTTCCTTCAAATCATCACCAAACACTTCGAATTTTAGATCTAAATTCGGAACCCCAAAATCCTACATCACCCAAACGGCCCCAATATCACACCCTACAGTCCTCGCACCCCTCTGAACCCTAAACTACCATCAATCCCCTTCGAATTAGCCCCAATCTCCTCGAATCTTGAATTTGAAACCCCAAGAACCCTAACTTTTTTCTACTTCCAATTTCCGGTAGTTTTTAGGTCCTTTGAACCCAAGACTTCCATGAATCAATTGCTCTTGATAAGAGCAATCGATTAATACTCGTCTAAAGTTCATTTTTACCCCGAAAGATTTGGTCAGAGTTCGAAGATGGTCCAATTTTATTTTTGAAAAATGAGCAATAGGTAATTTCTTTTACCTTTTCTTTAGTTTTCTTTGTCTTTTTGTTGATTCCTCTTCATGTTTAAGTATTTCTATTAAACCGCATGATTTTAGGTTTTTTTCCGTTTAAACTGTTAATTGTTTGTTTACTAGATTAGTTCAAACATGCTGAAACTTCATTTTAATTTGCATGATTTTAGTTTAAATAGGATTTGTGTTGAATTGTTGATGCTGTCTTTGTTTCGATCGCTTTTGTTTAAATTGCTCCCCTCCATATCCTGTAATTAAATCCCAGCATATTAATTCATGAATTGAATAATTTAACTTCTAGGATTTCTTTGAGGTTTTGTTTTCCCTGATAATTTTTGGTTTATTTACTGTGTAAATGTATTTAGCCATTTAAGTTTAGTCTTGTTTAGATTTAATTAGATAATCTCTTTTGTCTACTCATTAGGTTAGTTTTAAGTTTAAAAATTGCATCACTATCATTCTGTTCTTTTTTTTTTTGGATTCTGATCTTTTGATAGCTATTGTCCTTGATTTGTAAATCATTAGAACCCATAGGGACTTAATTGAATTAAAAGAGACTTAGGACAATTTTTCAGAAAATATCTAGGAAGAGAAGTTTCTAGAAAGTGTACAACTGTCCTAGCTGTTATAAAAGATGCTGAAAAAATAGGATAAAAGGGACAGCTGTACCAGGGCCGTGGAAAAAAAGACAGTACTATTTTCAACTATAGGATAAGGAATATTCTTAAAGAATACCTATCCTAGGCAGCCTATATATAGATACCATTCCTCTGAAAATAGGATCAGATTGAAAACCCTAAGAAAAATACTCTCAAAAGTTTGACTGCTGTTTTTCAAAAGAGTTTAATTCCCTTGGTTCTTTATTTTAACAAAAACTTCCTATTTCTGGTCTTCATAAGCTTGAGAAACATGATTTGAAGTTGAAAATTTCCTGGTTTTTCTTTGAGGTATACTGGTTTTTGCTGTTGTAGCTATTTGTGGAAGTTTGGTTCCTGATTTTGGGTTTCTAGCTTTGAGTTCTGTTGCTGTTTCATTGTTTTAAGCTATTCAGCCATCTTATTCATCTATTGGGTGCTTGGTTTTGTTGCTGTTTCTAGGTATTAACCTCAGCTTTTCTCCATGTAATGCTTTAATAATTTGTTGAAATGATATGAAATTATATTTGTAAATGGCATGTGTAGAAATGAATATCTTTCATGCTAGCAGTAGTTTTCATTGATGTGGATTTGATTTGGCTTTGATTATGTGAGTTTAAAGTTTGAGGTGATTTGGTATGAACAACTTAGTTAACATATGAATGCTTTGTAGCTTTATCTTGCAATAGTTATGTTGTGAGGATGTGTCCTTAACCAAAAATTCTGTTTGTTAAAGCTAACCATGAAATTCAATCATGTCTTCTCATCTTTCTTCTACCTAAATGAATAGTCTGCTGTTTACTTAAGGATATTTGGTTCTGTCTGTTGATCATGAGCTGTTTCCTGCATATTTGGTCAATAGTTGGCCAAATTAGCAGGCTTAGAAGCTGAAATTTGGAACCCTTCTATGTGGTATGAATCTGATGCTTTTCATGAGGGAAGCCAAGCTTGTGATGGACAAATCGTGTCCAAAAGAGGCAAGGATTAGTTAGGTTATTGAAATTGTAATATAGTAGTTTTGTTAACATAGTAGTTTATGTACTAATATGTTCTAATGTAACATGCTTCGAATTTCTGGAAAAAACTTTTCTTTTTATTTATTTATTTGGGCTATTGTAATGAATCAGGTTTCAATGTCATGTATTAAGGATCAGAACAGCTGCTTTAGGAGTACATTTATTTTGTCATTACATTATCATAAGTGTAGTGGAACAGGCCAGGCTATGAGCCCAATCCGTAAGGGTAAAAGGCTATCCTCTAATCCAAATGGGCTGAAGCTGTGAGTAAGCCCAGATGGAAAATTACCCCTAATGAATTTGGGTTTAGGCCATTGGGCCTGAGCCATAAGCCTGAAAAGTTTGGTTCAGTCGTAAAAGGTTTCTTTTATCAATTATATTATAAATATATGCTTTGTTCATCTTGCAAACCGTGTAATCAATTGTTGAACTAGAGTTGCGCTGTTTATTCTGGTTTTATTTAGAAGCAAATTGATTTTTTAATTGTTGTAAATATGTGAGTAATGGTTAAAGGTGGAGGAGGATAGGCCCAGCTAGAAAATAAGCAGTGACTGGGCCCGCCTATTATAGGCCTACTATGGGCCAGTTTTGTTCAAAAATTTGGACCAGCGAGGGCCTTCTGAGGCTCTTTCATTTTTCTGGGCCAAATCGTGAGCCCAAATACAGCTTTTAAAGCTGAATTTCCTAAATTAATTAGGTAATGAGCCATTGCTGGCCCAAAACTCCTTTTCAAAAGTGATTTAAAAGCATAGCCCTTTACACCTTAAGTTTGTCCTTAATTAAAAGATTTTTAGTTTGAACTTCAAATAAGGATTAAAATATGAGCATCCTTAGTTTTGCTTAAGTTAAATACAAAACCTTGTTAAAATAAAATTGAGGTGTGCCATACACAAACAAAATCCATAAGCTATGGCCCTCACATTAGTATTAACTTAGTATAGAAAACACCCTTGAACATCCGTAGCTTGCTTTAGGCGTGTTTTATAATAAATCATCATGGCTATGGGTACGATTCCCGTGGCATAGTCATGATACCTAATTCCCAAAATCGGGGGTACATTTCATGTAACCCAATCAAAACAACTTCGAATATTAATAAAATAAATATTTCATGAATCGCGCGTTCATTTCATGTAGTGTGGTTTGCGTTGTGTCCCAAAACGTCGAGTGTACGACAATCGTAACTTGTTTCAAGAAATAATTCCATAAATCCTAAAAGCGGTTTAAAATAATTAAAAGTGGCTAGAAATTTAAAAATGCACAATAGGTTTATAACGTATAATAAATCAGATAATTAGGTCAATTATTAATAGTTAAGTGACCGTGCTCGAACTACGGAACCCGGGAATGCCTAACACCTTCTCCCGGGTTAACATCATTCCTTACCTAGAATTTTTGGTTTCGCAGACTTTTAAATAAAGTTGAAATTTCCTCGATTTGGGATTTAAAATAAACCGGTGACTTGGGACACCATAAAATTATCCCAAGTGGCGACTCTGAAAAATAAATAAAATAATCCCATTTCAAATAATGTCACTTAAATTGGAAAAACTCCCTTATACGCCCTTCGGATGGTAAAAAGGAGGTGTGACAATGGGTATATAAAGTAAAGCATAAATCATATGGGAGTGTGAAAAGTCTGAAAGCTAGACTTGTAGTTAGAGGGGACACTCAAAGGGAAGGAATTGATTTCAATAAGACTTTTTTACCAGTAGTTAAAATTACTACAATTAGGTGTATTCTTGCAGTAGCAATGAAGAAGAACTGGGAAATTTACCAGTTAGATGTGAATAACGTTTTCTTACATGGAGACCTACAAGAAGAGGTCTATATGAAGTTTCTTTCATGGATGCATCCTTTAATTCTAATCTAGTGTGCAGATTACGCAAATCCTTATATGGTTTAAAGCAGACATCACGTCAGTGGTATGCAAGATTAACTGCAATCCTCAATTTCAAGGGATACACATCTTTCCTAAATGATTATTCTCTATTTTCAAGAAAAAAACTGATTCAATTTTTATTGTCACGGTTTATATCGATTATATCTTGTGTCGCGCTCCCTTTTTTCCCCTTCGCGAGGAAGTTCGGGTTTCGACATTCATTGGGGAACAACTCGTTTCCTTTTGGGAATTGGGTGTTTTGAAGAGTCGCCACCTAACAGATTATGGTTAGTTAGGGCACCTAGAGCGATTGACTCACGTAACTAGTTTGCATCACCAGAGATTAGGGCAAGAGCTCGAAATAACCTTGAGGGGAAGGTGTTAGGCACCCCTCGTGGTCCATAATGGTGGGTCCCGACCGAACTTAAACTATATAAATTAGTCAATTAACAAGTAAGCAAGTATTTGCAAATAAAGTAGCTTTCCCCCATCTAAATGCACATATAATCAAGAAAGTTCAGATAATGAAGGTAAAGAGATTTGGACAACTTACGCATGTATATGTAAAGAAAAGGAAGTTTCGACAATTTAAACACATATAGGAATTGGGAAAAGGGAGGTCCTAAGTTGATTAGACTACATGATCATACCCATGCAATGCCCGGTAATCACTCCTCAATGAGAGAGGCTACACGTGACATTAACGCACAAGTCATCACATTCTTTTACTACCCATTACTCTCCCCTTAGTGGTTATATGAGCGAGTTTTAATTAACGACCTCTAAGTGTGCTGCTACCCGTCCCTTCCTTATGGTCCTGGAGGATTTTAGGACCTCTAATTCTAGACAGTTCTAGACAACCTAAGATTTTTAAAAGGTAAAATCTAGGCGTCAAGCAAATAACATGTAGGAAAAACAAGTAGGGACAAACAGTTACAGGGCTCATATTTACCTCCGCAAGTATATAGGCAAACAAACAGCACGTCTAAAATATAGATTTTTGAAGAAGTTCAGAAATCCTAAGAACATGATATCTAGACGAACACCACAAAGCAGAACATGCAACATTTGTTTTTTAATGGAAGTGGAAGGATCCTAACCAGTTTGCCTACTGGTTTTTACAACTTGTTAAACCTGGATAATTTCACATATAAACAGAGCTGATTTCACAATTATTTAATGCCCTAAGGCTTGCCTAAGTGCGTATATGCAATCGCAATTTTGGGAAACATTTTGAAATTCTTTATCATATAGGCATGCTTTATAGTGACATTTAACAAAGCACTGGATAATGTTCCAATGTTAGCACTTAATGCACATGGTAATAACCTATGGACATGAATTCTATCTCTAATAAGTAAAACTGTTATTTATTAAACAAGCATACTGACTGATCCAGTGTGACAACCAATTAAACCTACATGCATGATTTCTGAAGAGACAGACTTGAATATATATTGTAAAGAAGACTGGACCTTAGTTATTTTATTCCCTATAAGCATGACGTCTAATCATGTAAAGTAAAGTAGGCAAAACTCATTTCAACCAAAGCAAACCCTATAGACAGGTTATCTAGCAAATATATTTTCAACCAAAGAAAACCCTAAAGGCATGTTATCTAACAAAACACATTTGAACCAAAGTGAACCCTATAGGCATGTTATCTACCCAGCTTTACCAACAGTACTATATAACTACCCTCTCTTTTCACTAGTCACCCCAATATTTGTTTACAATTATTATTACAGACCAATAATTGAATAAAAATTACATAAACAAAATATAAATTAAGTTATAGGGAGCCTGAAGTAGGCCCAAAGCAAATCCTGATGTACCAGGCCTTCAGTGATCTCAAATGCTCAAAGGTTTCATAGCTAATTTCATGTCCAAGTGTGTCAGAGTTCCCTAAGGACCTCAAGGATCCCGGGCAGTGCTCAAACCCAGGCCTTTCTCAAATAAGGACTGATTCATGTGCAGTGTGGAAGTGACAACCCCGATATGCCAGAGTTCAAAGAGATCTCAGGGACTTCTAAGTAGTACACATATCATAGGGGCAGAACTTAATAACCTAAGAATGAGTGAGGGTGCTTGACATGATTTGAAAGAGTTTTGATAAACAGTATAGAGAGGATTCTTATAGGTGAAAAGATTCTCTAAAAACCAAGGCTAAAACAGTTTGAGAAAAGCATGAAAAACCTTTTTTGACATTAGAACCCAAGTCACAAAACAAACAGCTTCAGAAAAACACTTTGGGGCAAACAGATTCCACACATGGAGAGAGGGGTTGGGGACACATAGAATACACCCTAGTGTATAAGCAAACAGATGCACAAACTTCTCAAGAATTTGTAGAATTGATAAGTTAGTTACAAAGATTACAACAAAGACACGTTGAGAACACATAGACCTTGGACATGACCAAACACACAACTAGAGTTACCTTGAAGGGCTAGATAACTTAGCAGGATCTCATTAGTAAAGCAGAGTAGGCAAGACTTAAATGAACAAA